TATTCCCAAAGCTGTCAAACTCGAGTTTGGGCTCAGCGAATAAGCAGTGCGACATGTCGCTTCCACAGCGCTGGACATACCTGTGAGACGCGGTCTAATTGCATTGCTCCTCTGCACAGCAAATTGACAGTGTGTTAGGTTGCCTCTCTGGAGCTCAATCTTAGCACTAACATAAAATATACCAACTTTTTTTGTATACAAATTTACCCTTGACCAAGCAAATACATTTTCTGCTTTACTGATGAAGAACTAAAGGATAGAAACCCCAAGAAGATGGGATAGAAACTCAGATTTTCCAAGTAACATCTACTTCACAGCTGCCTCAGTAGTGACAACATTTTTAAGCTAGGTCACATTTTGTTTTTAAGGGAATATTCCTACACTTGGTTAATCTTTATATATACCCGCAACACACATAACACCTGGAATACCTGAAAGGTAAGAAATTAAAAGGTAGGGGAAGCTGGTATAGGAAGAGAAGTAGATTTTCCAACATCAAAGATAGACTTAGCATCAGAGAAACAGCTCAAACTCCCGGTCCTCTACCCAGTGTTCAGTCAAGAGCTTCTCAATTTCCTCACAAACTGAAATAACCCTTGCTGTCTTAAATAATTTATTATAAAAGCAAACTCATGTGAATTTCATTTAAACATAAGTTGAGTTTCTCCGAAAAAGAAAAAACCCTCACAGCATTGACAAAGGCAACAACAGTTTGGATACTGTCTCATAAGCAGCGATAGGCCCTGATAGAGTTGTGCTTTCAGCCACCCAAATCTCAGCAATTCCAGATTGATGGAAACCTCATCTAAAAGCTCCAGGGACTCTCCTCAACTCAGCTGGGACACTCAGAAAGCAAACTTTAATCCTTTTTCTAAAAATCTGCTTCACAATTCAACATCTTTGATGTAAATCTCTTAAAAGACTGAGATGGCATCAAGTCAGGGACAGGATGGAGGGAAATGTGTTTCCGTCCGTGGGGGAACCATTAGGAGGAAGGTTAATAGCCCTGGGCATGCGATCAAATCAAGTCTGTGCCAGTTTCCCCAGGGTTTCCCTTGCCATCACCAGCTTCCCTAGGCTGGGCAGCTCACCCTCATCTTCCTACCAAAGACAGCACAGAAACAGAAGCATAAGAGCCTGCCAGGGAGAAACGAGATAGATATCTTGCCATTCACTTATATGGGTAAAATATGAAATAGGCAGCGGGAGCCGCCGAGTGTCTTTGCCTTGGGAAAGACAGAAACTCGCTGTACGTGCGGCCTTAAAGCTGGGGAGGGAGGCAGGGAGCAGGAATTCGGCCCTTCCCCACATGTGGCCCGCAGCAGCAAGCCTAAACAAGGCCGGCGTTAGCATTCAGAGCACACGGCGCAGCAGAGTATGGGAAAGGGAGAGCGCGGCCCAAAGAGCTGGCGCCACTAGCTGACGAGCAGAGCGCAAGTGATAAAGATTTACTGCGAGAGAGGAGGAAACAGTCCGCTGGCCCGATTAGAGCTGTGAATACCGAGTTGTTCAGGGAGGATTTTGCAGCTGACTGATCACAGGCTGTCGGAGCAGGCCTCGCACAACAGCTGCAAGGCTTGCTGGGCTGCAGAGACAAAGGGCGCCTAGCACAGTGCAAAGAAAGAGTTGACAGGTTGTTGTTAGCAGTGGCAAATGTGTGAGGTATGTCACTGTGTGCGAGACGGGCCGGGGCGGGCGCGGGGAAGGAGGAGGGCAGGCCGCGGCAGCAGCGCGCGGGGAGCGGGTGCCCCGGCTCCCTCAAAGCGCTTCCCTAAAGGAAAAAAAATCAGGCCGGTGTTTGTGAGGAGGACAAGCACAAGGTCTGTTTGCCGCTGCCAAGATGAATTAGCCCATCGTCTCATTTATAGGACGAATCCGGTGGCACGGACTGGAAGGTGCACGGCCTTAAAGGGACTAATTAGACGATTCCGGCAAATCTGAATTAAGACCTTTTCTTTCTTTGAAAGCTGGAAAGCATTTCTCGGGACTCTAGTCAGATGGCTTGGGTTTTGGGGTTTTTTTGTTGCTTTTCTTGTTTTCCTCAGCCCTGAGAAGGGATATCTTGTGCAATTTCCTAACTCACAAGAGTCTGCTCTGAGCTTGAAGAACAGTTGTTAGGAAGCTGCTGCCATTTACATCATATTAAAAAGGGTCCAAGACAAAATCCTGGATTCTGCAGGAATTCAGATCCCAGTCCAGGGACAAACTCTGCAGCTGGTCCCTCCTTGTTACAGCGGGCTAAAGCAGAAGCCCACAAGTGGATATACCTGAGCTAAGAGGCCACAGCTAAATTCTCATTTACACACAGCAAATGATCTAGATTTCTCAAAAACACCATCTTTGGTGCTTCCCATCTCCTCCTACTCCCATAAAACACCATGTGCATAGGCAAGAGCCTTTCCCAAGCAGCTCCCTGGTTTCTGGAGCCATGGCTCCCCTAAGCTTGCAAGGGCAGGGCAGGAACATAGCAATGCAACTCCGGACATTACCAGTCCAACTGCAGAACTGACTCTCAGCTCCTTGCTTGGGAGCAAGTTTAGGACTCATGTCTGGAAAACTGGCAACATTTTATTCTGATTGTGACAAAAGCAAAATGTTACCGACACCTCTGAATCAACGGTGCATGCTGTTTGCACACAACCACTATATTACAGTGGTCACTATTAAAATGGTTTACAAGCAGTTAACGTTACCATGGTATTCACAGGGTGCTAAGAAAAGGGAATACCATGAATATCACAGAAACATTAAGCACTGCAAGCTGTAAATATCAGATGTTTCATAGTAATTAGTGACACTTTGTAAAAGGATAGGTTTCTTGTCTTTTTTTTTAAGCATATCTACTACTAACTAACAAGAGACACTAAGAAACTGCAATGCCCTTTATAGTATCCAATCAATTATACAAACAAATCCTATCTTCATTTTCCTCTTCTAAATGGTCTCATGGACCCAGTTACTCTAGCCCCAATAGGCAGCACTTGATACACTGTAAAGGGAATTCAGAACAAGAAGCATTTCAAGGCTTCTAACACAGCTCCATTCTCCAAAAATATCAAATACCAGTGTGCAGAATACTCCATCTAGGGGCAGAAATGCAACCCAAAGTTTCCTAAGCTTCTCCTTTGACATGTGTTAACCTCATTCTGCCAGGACTGAGCGCATGAGAAATAACCAGACATTTCACAGAAGTTCCAAATAGTTCTTCTTCAGCATGAGTCTATAGATTCTTACTTTATATTATTCTAAATGCAGAGCTTCCAGCTTGAGTTTCCGCTTAAAAAGTGATGAAGAACACAGGCGCTGTTTTTATACGTCTACTAGCAACTAGATCATATTTTAAACTACAAATACTATCTTAGGAGCAAATTTATAACCTATTTGATCCATATGCTCAACAAAATCCAGCTGAACAAGGGTGGCCAGTAAGTTCAACTGCAAAGAATAATGAAATGCCTGAAGGACAATTTAGAAACCTATATCCCAGGATGTAATTAGGCTTCTGCTGAAGCCAAAGCAAGATCTGAATTCAACTTCAGTGAGAGCAGAAATGACTTTGTGGCACAGGCATGCTTCTGAATAGGAAATTTGCTGTGTACCTGGATCATCCAACATAACTTATACTTAATATTAATGCATAGGATTTGTTCAGCCAATGTATTTGTGAGCAATATATCTTATAGACATACATAAATGACAAATTAGAAGGCCCAGAATAAATGGTGGGGAGAAGGAAAAAAATAAGTAATGCCAATAGTTTTCTTCTTTTGGAAGAAACATAACTATAGGAGGTATATTAAGCCCTTTCCCAATTATATTTTTTGCTTTATATAAATCACTTTCAGGTGACAAGCCTGCAAGGATTTTCCTTAGTAAGCCATGGGTTACAGCTTGTCCATACTGCTGGAGCTTTTCATTGCACTGTATCTTGCTCTTTGTCCCTTTGGCACAGATTGGCTGCTTTTGAGGCTAGCGTAACGCTTTGGAAAGCGATCAGATCACTTGCTACATTTGCCTTCCTAAACACCTATGTTTGATCACCTACATTCTTCCTGTTCAGCCCACTCAACTGAAAACCTCATACATAAATGCAAAGGTTAGAATTTTCTAGACAGCACTTTAATTTTTCAAATAGCAATCCAATTACCGAGCAAATTGGCACATGTGCCTGGTTACATAGTGACTTGGCACTGTCTCCACACGCTGCTGGCAGTGATGAATGTGTTCCCCCTTCGTCCTCCTCGTCTATCTGCTCCAGCCTCCGAGCCAACACCAATGACCACATAAGGAGAGTGCCTGGCAGCTGCAAGCCCGAGGTGCCAAGAGGCAGATTGTGTTCTGTGGCAGCAGGATCTGGGTCTGTGACTGGCTTCCTGGCTAGTCTTTTGTAAGACCTTTTCCATGGCCTCTAGGTTGGCTCTAATGAAGCCTGCAGAAATGCCTGCAGGGAGCTGGTATAGAAGTGGGTTAAGTCAAAGGTTTAATTTAGTTTCCAAAGTGAAGTGAATGTATATTGGCCTTCCTTTCCCACCCTGCAATTATACTCCTGCCACATTTATGAAAAAACAGTATTCAATCAACAACAGGAGTGCATTCCTGGGTACGTCTGCACTGCACATTGGGGCAAAGATCCCCAAGCCAGTGTCAATTAACTTAGCCGCAGAACCAGGAGCAATATAGCTGTGTGTGCTCGGTGCGATACCCGAGCTAATTAACTATGTATGGCAGTAACAGAGCTTTACTGTTCCTGGCACTGAAGCCAGTACCCCTGTGTGGTAATCTACTAACAGACATGCCAGCTTCTTTAGAGGTAACTTGGGGCTCTCTAATAGGATGGCTGCCTTGCACTGCACAGATATCTTTAGTCATACTCCAGGGATTGGCAGAAGTTTGCTGACCTCCTTACACCATGTGAGAGTGGTGAGGCTACAGATGTGGTTACAGTAAATCTGGACAGTTCTCTTCCATCCCATTCACATTCTTTCATTACTCACAACATGACAGTTACAGAGCATCTTTCAGTAGTGTGCTGAGCATCTTGAGCAGCATCTGTCATGTGTGGTGCTTTCTCCATTTCTCTCTTCCTCCTCCTGGGACAAAAAGATGGACAAAGATACCTTAAAATATTTCTCAAACTTGCACTTTCTGTCATTTTTAAAGATTTTTGGATCTTAGCCTAAAAAACAAATTTCTTCAAACTATTTAGTAAAGCAAATTTCTTCAAACTATTTAGTAAGACATTTTCAAGTCCTCAAATGCAGCAGATAAGAAAGACTTTTTTCCCCATTTAGGTTAACCTTAAGAAAGGAAGTTGTAAAAATTGACCATCTTCCAAAGACCAGAGATGCACTCTGATCCCTGTAAGACAAGCAGGCTTTGGTGAAGGTAAAAAAATGAAACAAACCTGCCAGCTACTCCTCTTAGAGCCACACCCCAAACATACCAAGAAACCACCAGAGAGAATCAGAGTTATTCATTCAGCAGATTTCTAATGCAGATGGCAGCCCTGAAAAATACCTGAGTGGACTCTGAACTGCGTACACGGGAATATTTTGCAGCGTTAACTCACTTGGACTTTACCTATGAATACAGCTCCTTTTTACTGATGGGTTTTCTCTCCTTTTTTATTCCTTTTTTTAAACCAAAAATGTTGACAGAGGTACTCAATGAGATCTCTGAACTGTCACTGTTGGGTTACAGTTAGTAATTTTTCTTTGAACATCACTTAAGAGAATGGGGTTGGGATGCCTTTACCAATGTTTGTCTCACTTTCTGTAGGTAGATAGGAAGTCTAAGCTCTCTATTGACTTTCTAGACAAAGCCCAGTTATAATCCCAGACACTATCTTGAGGATTTGCAGCGTTTGCCTTTGAGTCTAATCATCCCATTTCTCAAATGTCGTTTTCTCACAACACAGCAAACAAGTTTTTAACACAAACTTTCTGTATATCTATTAGAACAAATGCACACAAGGGTGCACTTTGAGCATGTGAGGGTGACATACGATAGTCCCATTTTGCCATTATGCTCTCCACCCTCCTGCAATTTTGCATGGGTTACTTAAGGACTCACTTTCAACAAACAGTACTAAATTCCAGTAAAGCACAGGAGCCTTTTGGGGCAAAATCATTAGATTCAGCCCACCTACTAGTCTGTAGGAAGTGTGTTTGCCCATCAGAGGCCTGTGAAACAGCTCTGGTGACTGGAGGGGCTTGCAGCCAGACTCCTTCAGAAAAGCAATTTATTTTGATTAACAGTTTTTAGTCTGTTCTGCAGACCCCTGGGAATCCTTGGGCTTTTTCCAAAGGACAAGAAAAGGTAAAAGTACACACACTGTCAGGAGCTTCATTACATTATTCAGGGGTCTGTACCTCTGTATTGCAGCAATATCAAAATGAATGATAAAAACCTCAGTGACTGCAGAAGAAGAATGAGTGGCCCCTATTGTCTTCTTCAGTTCCTTGTACAGGAGCAGGAAACTGGGGTTGAAACAGGACCCATGCTCCCGGCTACAGGCCTGTAAGACACAATGAAGAGTTAGTTATCCAGAACAACACATAAGCATGTGCTTAACACCAGGCATGTGAATGCCCCAAATGCACAAAAGCTCACACGCTGAAGTTAGTAACATTGCTGCAGCCAAGCTGTGCTGAGAGTTAAGCATGCACTTAAGAGCTTTGCTGGATGGCAGCCATTTACAGATGTACAATCAGCACACAGACATGTAGGCAGAGACTTCCTTTAATGGGTCCACTGAACTCTCCTCTTGAAGATACATATTTGGTTATTTTCATTAGCATATTTACAAAACAAAATACTCCTCCCGTGATTATACCTCAGATGTCAGCGTGTGCATCATTTTGCCAGGAGCCCTTTGTTTACTGCACTTAAAACTCAGGGCCAGATGAACAATTCTAAAATAAAATGCAAGAAAGCAGTTGACATCTGACAACAATGCAGAACAGTCTCTATCCTTGTTCTCTTACTTTGTCTCTTGCTTGTATACTTTGGAGATGCCGATGGATGCTTGTCTGCATATAATGATAAGCATCCGGAGCAGTTTGAAGAACCAGAAAAAGAAGAGAAAGTAGAAGAAAAATAATGGGAGAAGCATTAAGGGCCCTAAGTTCTTTTCGGGAGGGGCATCAAACACATGCTCGCTACTCCTGTCACAGTGCAATCAAAGCAGCCCTGTGCCACTGCCAAAAATGGCAACAGGTGCCAAAAGATTATGGCATTGGTTAAATCCACTCCTAAGGCACCAGTTTAGGGACTGATCCAAATCCCAGAAACCAATGAACATCTTTTCCCAGATGTCAATTGTTTTCAAATAGTTCCTCTTATTCATTTCCAGTGCAATATGTCAGGGGGGCAAACAAATTCAACAGCCAGGAGGGAATCCTCTGATTTCGCTACTATAAACCCTGGCCCTGGACACAGGCCAAAGCCATGTGCAGCCTCCCCAATGCATTTTTAAGATAATTAATATTTTATATTCACAATAAGATAACTTCATTCACAAGGAACTATTAAGACAGAGCTTCTGGTTACATTCTCCCCTGCACGTTACAGTGACAGCTCCGTGCCAGGAGCAGCCACATGGCCTAAAGGTGCCAAGCTGGCAAGGATCCTCTCTCTCAGCATTTGGCATCTCACCCCTTGGCATACCCTGCAGCAGTTGTGCTTGGCTGCCTCTGGATCCGTCATGTGGTCAGGCTGCTGATAGCCTAGGAGGGTGCTGCGTCCTCTGGGCACCATTTCACTTAACACCTGTCTGATTCGGAGGAATGCGCGCACATGGAGAGCGAGATCCCCACACAAATCCTCCCAGAGACCCGGAGCACATGCTCCATTTGTTACTGAAAGGGTCGTTTCCTCAGACCCACAAGTGTTTTTTCTCCCCTTCACATATCCGTATACAGCCCTTAGAGGGTCCTACATCCTGCCATGCATTCCACATGTGTTGGATGTTTGCTCTGTGAACCAGGAACACAAAACATAGTCTTTTTGTATATAATGAAGTCTCATGTTTTACTGTGCTCATATATAGCCATTTCTTTGTGGATCAGACTTTTGTTTTTTTGGTGACATTTTAACTATCTACAAATGTTTGCTATAGATGAAAGGAAATGATTATTTCCAGGTCACTCTGCAATAATATTTTTTGATGGTCACCATAATTCCAATTAAATTGAGTAATAAGAGAGGGGGAAACCCTTCAAATATTTGAAGTGCCACTGTAGCAGAAATATTTAAAAAAATACAAAAAAATCAGCACACAACATTTATCACAAGCTACGAAGCATCTATGAGGACTATAGATAAAACCCAAGGATCTTTTTCCACAGGGAACCATGCACAAAACACGGCTGTTATGAGATGCAAACTACAAGAACAGAACTCTGCATCCCTTCCACTATGCATCGCTGTAGTGGACACTGAACATAATTTCATATCAGAGAACAGTCTCAGACTTGGGATTATTTCACCGACACTATCTGTGACCCAAGCACAGCCCGAAGAGGTCCTTGTTAAACCCACCATGGCCATCACAAACCTGGCCCAGAGCTCGGCAGCAAGGCCTGCAGGGCTATGGCAGAGGGGCAGGGAGGAGCGGGGAGACTCCCCAGAAGCACTTCTCAAATCTGTGCTCTCCAAAAGCACCCTAACCAGCCTCCTGTTGGGGTAAGCTGCATGTGTGGGTGCATCCACTGCACCCAGACTCTTCTGAGCATGACCAGAGTCTCTGAAGTCTGTGAAATAAATGCAGCTCATCAGTTAAAGTTCACATGTCACAAAATAACCGCACAAAACAGTTCAGGATGAACCCTTGAGGAGGTAAGAAAATATAATTTCATAAAATAATTCCTCAGTTACAGACTGGTTTTTTTTTTTTTTTGACTGTTTTTAGGAGTTTCTGTAACAACATTATTTTCCTTTTTATTTTCCCCGCTCTGTGGCCTAGGCCATTTATTTCAGTGATTAAAGCACCTGGCTTTTGGCAAGGAGGAAGAAAAAAATAAGGACTAAATAAATGTACCAAACTCTCTGGCAACATTCTTGGAATAGTTTTTAGCAAAGTACAGGGCATGTTCAGAACACATGATGTTGTAGTACAAAGATTTTACTGGCTTCACTGCTCAATGTAGTCATCTCAGACTCGAGTCAAACAAACAAACAAACAAACCTACCATGCCATATCATCATTTATCATCATATATCATCATCTCTGTATACAAATACACTCTTTTTAAAAAGGAAGTTCATAATCCCTGCATAAATTCACAAGCTGAATCCATGTTATATTATCTCTCCTTGAAAATAATAACTGAACAGGACAATGGAAGTTACTCTTGGCAACTAAACCAGGGGCAAACAAGTACTGCACCTCAGAATACCCAACAAGGGGACAAACAGGGAAGGAGGATTTGCTTCCAACAGGTCTATGTCACCTCCTTTCTCCAGCATCTTGGTGTTCAGTGCTAGGAAGAGATTTCTCACAGGAGTCCTTGCTGGACTGAGCCCTTGAATGAACATACAGCATGGCTTATAAGCCACGTGGAAGACCAAGGAAAGAACAAAAACCCCAAACATGACAAACTTCAGAAACCACCCCCATCTGTGTAAACTTTCTACATTATTTTAAATAGACCTTACCAGATGTTTCCTTATCATAATATACTTCCCTTATTAACATGACTAAATAAAACCCAAATCAAATCCTGATCATTTCTCCATTTCATACTTAAATTCTGAGGTTTATGCTCTCTTTTTAGCACGCAATTTAAAGCTGTGAGCTTCCTCATGATATCATGCCACATTGGGAATTCACTTTTTAAAATACTTGTTGTACCAGGAGGAAGCTTGAACACTGTTTTAAAAGGCTGCTGACTTGGGACAATTTGTATGCTAATTTCAGAATGATTCTTTCTGCATTAAATAAGGAGCTAAGGAAAGTTCCAAAGGTCCAGACACACCATACCACTCACAGATTGGGTAAAGCCACGCTAATACTGCCCACAGCATATTACACCGTGTGAACTTTCTTCACTGCACACACTTTACTAATTTTAGTTCCACGTGGTTCCTCAGCTGACTGGCCAGAATATAAACTACAGCAGCTCCCGAAAGCCTCCCTATGCCCATCTTGACCTTGGACTTGCCTTTAATATTAAACTTGAAGAAGAAAATGAATTGGTCACACTTTCTTTTTCAGGGTACATTTATAAATGGTTTATAAAGGGTTAATAAATGATTAATAGATCATGGAAATTTTAAGAATATGGACAGGTATGAAAAATCATTATATATCTAACAATAAATGATCTATTATTTAGAAAAAAACAAAAATATGAATAATAGAAAATACAGACCTGTAAAGTCTAGCTTGAACTCCATCAACATAAAGGCTAAGTACAGCAAGCAAATTAATGCCTTCAAAATTGTTTGAACATTGACAAATCTTCCAGCATTTATTAGCAATATACTCAGCTTATTATTGTTTAAGGACATGCCAAATTTGGCTTTAAGTTTAGACTTCGTACAAACAAGCTGTTACAGAGCCTTAGAGTAACAGAAACATTTCCAGTTTTTATTTTACTTCCAACAAGAAAATGGAGTTTAAGCAAAATTCTCCTGTAGCCTATGTAATCTTAACAGTGCAGAACTGAAAAACTCAAAATGAACCAGACATCACTAAATCAAAATCGAAGAATTATAAGATTGATTTTTTAACTTGCGGTTTTCTATCTTAGCTTATGAGCTACGGTGCTGAAAAAAGGCATTGATGCAAGATATCAAACTGACTTTAAGTGCTTAGATTTCATGAAAGGAACTGTCAACTATTGATCAAATGTTGGTTTTAGAGATGGATTCAAGTCATTGTCCCAAGCACTTGCAGCATCTTGTTATCATCATCTGGCAAGTTCTTGCAGCTTCACTTACTAGTACATGCTAAGGTACTAAATAGCATGAAGTACTCTCACTATGATTTTTTTTAAACTGAAATCAAGATTTCAAATGGACTTTGGCTTCATTTTTTCCCTACTTCAGTATGAGAATTTCTACTAAACAATACAATAAACAATTTCCTAATACTTTTCTTAATAGGAACTATAATGTTTTGGGGACAGCGAGAGCTGTCTGTTGAGAAGGGGCATTGGGCACACACCTCATCTCACTGAATTCAATAGCTGAAGCTCCACTGAGTGCCAAGGAGGCAGATTATCTGTTCTGTTTATAGTATGGGTGCCAAACTCTTTCTCCATCCCACATCACACACGCTAACTCATGCACTAGAACTTATTAGGAGCACAGAAACCAGTCCCAGCAGGACCCCAAGACGTGAAGCAGCTAACATCACACCCAGCCAACACCACACTTTGCTATACATCAGATACCCAAGTCAAATGCCTCCTGATAATGATCAATGATGGCAAATTAGCAGCTTGACTACTGGAAAAATTCCAAACTTTACCTTCCAACTATAGGGATGAGGAGGATATATATGAATGTGAT